GAGGCAGAAAGCACCCATACCCCAAATTAAATATAAATCCTTGGAAAGCATCGCTGTGAGTGGCACCAAAACATACCTTATTTGCAGTCTTCAGTATGCCTGTGCCCCTGGGTACAGTCACACTTCCAGGGACACAGCTTTCCTTCCGCAGATAAGATTAACTCAAACGAATTGCACATTATCTAAATATTTATAATTTTAAATACTAAAACCTGTTGTCAGCTGCCGTTTATTAGATACTTGCATGGCACTAGTGCTCTAACAAAGAGCAAAGCGCCCACAGGCATCACACGGAGTGATGTCTCAAGGCAGCTGTGAAGAGTAGCACAAACCTGCAGAACAGTATTAAAAGAAAAGTAAAGATTTACAGTGCTTTAAATAGCATTCATTTAAAAAAAAAAAAAAAAAAAGAACTACGGCTCTTTTTGGGAACACAGTGAATTTTAAGCATCTCTGTATTTTAATGGAACAGTTGAATTACCGTTATATACAGAGGAAACCAAAAGTTTGGCACTTGTAACAACTTGCATTTGTTATTGCATCCTGCGCTTTGCATGGCACATGCGCGTCACCAAAACCCATGCAGGCTGTATGGCCACGGTATTTATGGAACCAACCACAGAAACTGCAGTTAAAACAGGGAAAAATGCTCCCTAAACCTCCTACTTTTGTACTTATGCCTTTACCAAGTCATGCAGGCACAAGAAATATTGCAAAAAAGGAATTGAGCTGCCTGGTGTTGTCTGGAATGGGAGTTCAGAAAGCAAGCCAGGCGCTTCTGTAGCTTTGATGACAAAAACTCTGATTTTCAGCAAGTCCTCTGCTTGAGAAGGCAGGCTGTGAGACAGGCAAGTTTTGTGCAGTCAAAAGCAAAAGGGACACAGCCTGCCCACACTTATTAGTGAGCTGATTTTGTAAATTTGCCTTTGTTTTCAGATTCACCGCTAGCTTTTTGTGTAATCATATTAATTTGCCTTCAATTTAAAGGTGAGGTACCCTCAAAACTGCGGAAAGTCACTTCACCAGGAACAGCTAAGTTGATACAGCATTTTCACGATAACTAAACCTTAAGGAATGGCTGATAAAATCGAGGACAGGCAGACCTTGCTGTGGAAACTCTTCAGGATGCCTCTTTTTCAGGTTATAAAACCAGAAAGGATGGGAATTTGAAATCCAAGACTAACTCTTTAGGAACAGGAGTATCTCACAAGGCCAGATAAGGAACGGGGACAAGGCCAGGTGAGTGCCTCCCTAAGAAAACCAAGAGATTTTGGGGGGAAGGAATTGTGGTAAGAGGTGGAGTGAGGGGAGAAAAAAACCACCGCTATTCCCTTCTTCCACAACCCCTGCCCGCATTTGGTGATGTTCTGAGGACGACGGCTGGGGTTTGTCCACTTCTACAGCAGGGGAAGGGAAGGATGCAGAGCCCAGCCCAAGTCACTCAAGCCCACAACGGCACCCAGCCAGTCCTCGTTGGGATTGTGCTGAGCCTGATCCAAGATGTGAACACCCCAGACCTGCACCCAAGGACCCAGCCCCGATCTGAGGTGCGGTGGACACCAAGTCAGCAGAGCTCTTCAACGATACAGACGCTGGTCTCAAAACAGTGGCATTTCAATGCTGTGATGAACTCACAACCCCAGCGAGGCACCCAGTTTGGTAAATGAGGAAGGAAGGTGCCTAAAAACCTGACACTTGGACGCCAGTAGACTGCACAGACAGCTGGCTAGGAAAATCATTCAGAAAGTCACCTGGGGGGGAACTGGCTGAATTTGACTGGCGATTCACGAGCTGGAAGGAATTAAGGGTACTGTGCCAAGCAAGGACAACTTGAACAAGCTTCTAACCTGCCAAACCACATAAAACCCCTGGATTGCATACTGAGAAAATTCATGAGTTGCTTCCCATGTGGTTCAACCATCACATGCAGGGGTATGCAGCCACCAGGCAAGCAGGGACAGCCGGGGTGCTGGCAGGTACCAGTGAACCCAGTTCAATCCATAGCTGTTTGCACCTTCAACACACTCAGGGAACTGGTGGCCTCCGTCCACTCAGCACCTCTGGTATCAAAGCCTCCCTGCTCTACCAAAGTCAACCATCTCTCTTCCAAGAAGAGTCAGAGGTCAGCTATCCCTCTCTCACACACCACCACCTGTACGATCAGGCTCTCCGTGGAGAAAGGAGAGCCTTGCCTTCAAGCCTTGCTCCAAACTGGAAGGCAATCAAACCTGGTTATTGCACATCCCAAGAGATGCACTTATCACCAGGCTTACAGATCAGAACTGGACAGACGGACACAAGTCAGACCCCAATAAGACGCATCCCTTCCCTCCTACACACACAGAGGCCACAACATCCCCTGGATCGGCCCCACAGACAACACAGATGGGGAATGATCCCCATCCCCTTGGAGCAAGGCCAAGGAAGTGTCGTGGTTTAGGACAGTTTTGAGATCTCAGGAGTGCTTAAGTCTTCGCCTTGAGCATGCACCCGAGACTCCAGGAGACAGTGTCTCCTGAGACGTGGTCCCTGGCCACTAACCACGCAGAAAGTGACAGGAGTACATGCCTGCTTACCAATTAAGTTTGTAACTGTTTCAGGTGAAGAGACTTAAACTTCTTGGTTGAATCTCACGAAGTGCATCCACACCACACTCCAATTACCAGTAGATTTGTTTGTTTTGTTTACATTAAAAAAAACCCCAAAACCTACTGTTAATCCTACTTTAAGTGTAAACATTTGGTTCAATAACTTTAACTGCAAAACACTGCTCAAGTATATATAATTTAGATTTATTATGTGCATTTATTACTTAGGTTTTCTGGATGCTGAATGCCCTCAAGTGTACTGGGAAGCTACAGGGACCCAAGAGATAGCAGCCTGCAATATTCTGAGTAACATTTTCAAAAGTTTTCTAAAGCCACTTCGAAAACTGAGCTCAAAAGTGAAATAGATACTTAGGAACATTCATCACTTTTGAATATGGGATCTTGGCACTTTGTCTAAGAAAAAAAATTGAACCATGTAAGATTTTCAAAAAAGGGAAGTTTTACAGATAAACTAACAGCACTTGATTTATTTCACAAGACAGCCAAGGATGGAAATAGTGGTTCACATTTCTGTAGTAAAGCATTATATATAAATTTAAAATCTAAAGACATATATATACACACACACCAAGTTTACTGTAATGCATAAATATATAAACTTTTTAATATGCCAACTAATATAGGTCAGAAAATTGATGTATATAGTTCAAGTTTTGCAGCACTTCAGCATTGTAAAAAATAAAAAAAAATAAATAACGGTCAATGGATTGGCTGCTGCCCTCTTTCCCCCCCCACCCCTTTGCTCAGAATCAGAGTAATTCCAAGAACACATCAGCACTATGGAAGGACTGAGCACTAATTTCAGAATGTCTCTTCAAGGAATATTCAGTGAAATATAACTATTTTGTACTAGTTTGGGATTGTATTTCAGCACATCTAAGATGATTCAGTTAACAATGACAAAGGTTTACATGACACAACTGAGGGCAGAGATTGGCTTATCTGAGGTCCGCAAAGTTGCAGGGTGGAGAGTACTGTGTGTAGTAATAATACTGGTTATACAAAGTCTCTTTTTCTGAAGGGCAGGAGGTCTTATTTCTATTTCCATCTCTCTCATTTTGTTCCTTTTAAATAAAACCAGGTTACGTCCCACCCATCACAACAATAATGAAATCAAAAATTGAGGTAAAAGTGTTCTACCAGCTGATCTTGACTATGAACAAAAGTCAATTAAATATCGCTACTGATGCGAACAAGACTTAGTAAGAAATAAAACGCAAGATACTAAGTTCTTCACTATAACCACGCCATAAAACCCAGCTTTCAAAGTCAGACAGCAGTAAACAAGACTGTACTTTAGCATGGAAATCATCAGTAAACCAACTTTTGATCCCAATTTAAAGTTGCTGTACAAATTTTCCTTAACTTTTAGTCCAAAAATCATGTTTTCTGCAAAACAAATACATCCTTGTCATATTTCACCTTTGTTCTAGCAGAGATAAAATGCACCGTTCTATAATCCTCAGTCTTAAAAACCATTCTTAGTTTGCAAGCGATCTGAAGTAAAAAGGAACACAACCCATTTTCCTTAATTTGTCAAGTTTTGTTGTCTTTTACCAAAAGCAGCAATCATCACTGTTCCAAACACCCTTTCCCTTTTTACTTGAAGGAAACAGCCACCACAGCCCACACAGAAACACACGCCACCCATCTGTACACCAGTTCACCAGGCTGTTCAAATGAGAGCATAGAAAAAACAGTTTACTTCTCTGTAGTATACTGTATCCATTTCAGATTAGTCCATTTTAAATATATTAAAAATATTTGTAGGAATGAAAACCTTGCAAATGAATGAAAAACCGTATGTACACACCTCCACCATTTTTAGGCACAGACCTTAACTTTTGAGGAAGGACTAGAAATAAAAGGTGCAGCAACCAACATCTCCTACGGCATCATGGTCAAACAACAGTCTTTGCAGTATACCAGGGAGGTTGGTTATCATACAGCTTCTGTGTATTATAGCTATCCAGTCCAAGATAGCGCGTTTATTCTTATCAGTTCCCCTCAAGGGAAACGCATCTTGAATCTTTTTTGCTTTTCAGTAAACTTCGCCAAAGGAATACCAATTCCCACCAGTTTCAGACACAAAAAACCTCCTTCAATAACATGGTTTCAACTCCAAACAGTTACGACTGAAGGTGTTTCCTTGATCTCCCCTTTTATTTTCCCCCCCTCTCTTCTTTTTAATGTATACTTAAGTTATTTGTTCCCGAAACAAGAACTGAGACTCAAGCTTTTTAAGCATTTAAAACAAAAACAGTTACCATACCAAAGCACAGCATACAGTGTAAGTTTCAGCTGTAATTTCTCAGCTTTTCCTTTATATAGAGCTATATTATGGTGGACTGCGCAGAATTCTTCCAGTCTCCTCCACTGTCAGCATACGGATCACGGAGAAGGTACGCGAATGCGGAATAATCCTTGTTGAAGCTGCAGTCGAAAGAGCTTGCAGTTTGCAATCCGCAAAGCTGCACAGCCAGTACGGCGAAGGTCCGATGGAAATAGTGGTTTAGTGCGCTGCCAGGTTCCCGTGCTTCTCTTAAATTCTCTAACATAGTCATAATTTGTACCTGAATTCACATGTGCACAAGAAGAAGATAAAATGCTTAAAACATACTGTAGCTATCACCATATTTAATTTTTAATATGGCAAATACGTGAACAACAGCATGCACAGAAACACAAAATCAATTTCTGGATGTGTGGTTGAAATGACTGTCAAAAGGAAACTACTATGACATTTCTTATCTGCTTAAACCCACTGCATTTGAAATTTCACCCTTTTGAATGTTGTAGAAAGCCCTGTTACACACTCACATATGTCCATATGGCCATGCAAGCATGTAGTCTTCCAAAGGTTCTTTACAGTACGTGGCCAGATGCTGGAAGCTGAGCATTGAATCTGTTTATTCCTACACATTTATTCGGTTGGGATTTACAGCCAAGAGCCACTATCACATCCAGATGAACCACTGGACGATGTTTCCAGAGTGCAGAACCACCTGCTTATTGCTGCACGGATGGGAGAAACAACCTCTGGCACTAACATTTTTTCTCATATTTAGACAAATACAGTAACATACTCTCAGTCTTGATCTCTTCTGATCCTCAAACTGCTAATCAGCCAAATGCTTATAGCACTGAATTTGTTTCTGAAGAGCTCCAATGTCCAAAACCTGTACATTTCTGTACGTTCAGCATAATTCCCCTGCAGACAATAGTAACTTAACAGAACATAGTTGCCAGCCTTTTATTAAAAAAAAAAATAAAAATATCGGTCTCACTAGTGCCATGTATTTAAAAGACTGGAAGAAGACAAGCAACAGGAGGTTATTAGTTCTAATTCTGACCTGTATCAAGATCTCCGATCACATATATGCTGGCTCCAATGGGCACAGCTCCATACACGAAGGAAGAACTAGTCGGGATACATAGGTTCTGGTCATTTAGATAAATCCATCTGTAAAAATAGTAATAAAACCCCATGGTAAGCAATTTTTATTGAGCAGATTGAGAGAGTTCCAGGTTCTTTCTGCAACTACCATCTTTGAATCAAAAACAGTGTACAAGTTGTTATATAAAACCCGGTGGGAACATAGTCTAGTTCAGGACGGTCTTGGCTTTCCCTAGCCTGGAAAAGCAATCGGTCCTGCTCTTTGGGAAGCTCGGGATACTTTATCCTGAAGTTACTTTATTTCAGAATTGCTCCACTCATCTGTGTAATGTATCTGGAATAAATTCTTCTTGCAGCCACCCAGTGTGCCCTTCTAGAAGAGGCATATACAAGAGCCTCTTCTACAACAGGTACGTCAGTCCGTTTTCCCTACAGAGAAGATTTTAGGTAGCTTTGTCTTAAAATCAGTAGAGTCATAAAAGCATATAAGTCTTCATAGTCCATACTAGGGGAAATAACAAATTGCTATACAGCAAGGCTTTGTTATTAAGCAGTGCCTTGCCCCATATAATTCCCTAACTTCTTTAAGTGCACTCTATCAGCGACAAGAAATCCCCGATCCAGTATGAAGAATGCAGCACTTGGCAAAGCTTAACTTTAAACAAGGGATAGACAACTGGAAATCAAAACAGCAAGGGATTTGGGGAAAGAACTGTCCATTACCTGGAATTGAAACAGACCTTCTCGATCACGTATCAGGCTCTTTTCAATCACTTTCCAGCTCCTAGTATCACCTTACAAGTCCCCCGTGTTCACTTTAAGCATATTCTCATTTCAACTCTACATCAACCCGATCTTTCTACCAAGTGAAAAGCAGTTTTCCATGTTGAAGCCTCTGGACACCAGGTAAGTATGTACTCCTTACCCACGTGGGACACTGGCTTATAAAGATGTCCCATTTATCTAGAGTTGTCAGCATCCTCTCTATGGTTCTGAAACAAATTTCTACAAAATGCTGTTGCGCTTTTGTGGATGCTGTCAGAGTTACTATTTATAGACCCTGAAGACATATAAATCAATGCTATTTTAGGTGACTGCTCCCAGATCTTTTATTAAATAATTTATAGAGAAGAGAAAAGTTTGAAAAACCTTTGAAAAGCATCCCATGTATTTTCACAGCCATAGCTGGTTTATTTGGGGGAAAAAGTTATGAAATATCCCCACGGATACTGCTGACCTTTGAAAATTCGGCATTATCTTAAGTCATGATTCAGAAGTAAGCCTCTTCTGGCACCGAAGGAGAGGCTGTTATATATCAATTACCTTGGAGAGAGATACCAATTTTTAAAGGCCAAATGAAAGGATTAGCTGTCCATTATTTTGTCTGTGCCATACACTGAAGGATTAAGATTCTGCAGAACGCAAGGTAATTGTTTGTAGCTGTCACAGAGGAGGACAGATGAACTGACAACGGAGAAAAGGAGAAGCCCTCTATACTGATTCAGAAACTCTGTTACAGAGCAAAACACCTTTCACTACATTTCATTAGCTTCCTTTCCTTCCTGTGCGAAGAGGACACAGTCAGTGTTTTCACTGCTTTTTAGCACCAGGTTACCTACAACTATGCAAATGGAGTAAGTGGCAGAGAAATGCAGGAGGACGACTGCCATTTCTTCCTTTTATTTTTTTCTTTTTTCCCCTCCTTTTAAATAGTAAATATAGGACCATGTTGAAGAAGGAAAAACCACAAAATTAGATGAGGTTACCCTAGCTACTGATCAAGTTTGAGCTTGGAAAACATGTGAACTTCAGGGGGTTTGCCTGCACTACATATTCAAGGTGTCAGGGTTTGAATAAAAAACCCTGCAACAGTGTGTGACCAAACATTTTCCTACTGCACATCAAGACCAGACAGTATTAAGGTATCTGTAGTTGCTTGTGAAAATTCATTCTCAACCTTTCTCAACGCTTATGCTTTAAAAAAACAGGCAGAACTTTTCAGGAACGCTTACAGCAGCTTTAGCAGTTAAAACTAGGAAGGAACAAAGACAGGAAGGGCAGGGGGTCACGTTTCATCAGAATTTGACTACACTCCAGCTTCATGTGGGTTGTGCCTGCTGTTTGAACACTATGGAGAAAACGCCATGACAAAAAATTCAGTCTTCAGGAATTTGAAAACAGTCCTTGGAACATAACTCTTGCGTACTTGCCTGGGATGGCTCTACTACAAGCAAACCCGAGAGGGGCAGGGGAGAAGGCACACATCTCTATAACCACAGACAGAAATGATTGCTCCGAAACTGAAGAATGCTTCCACTCAAATTAAAAAAAGGGGAAGGAATCCCCATTTTTTTCAGTCTTAAAGTGATATAAACACAAAAAACCCCAGCCAAACCCATCCACATTGCTGTAATTAACAAGCAGGATGGTCCCTGTTTTATTTCTAAGTGGGAAGTAAAGAGAGACGTGATACAGAATGAACATATTCCAGGCGTGTCACCTCAAGCTCACACCAGCTGTGAAAGGAAACCTACAAATGAATGAAAATCTTCTCTGTGATCCTCTCATCACTCATCTGATAGATAGCACTATCAGTCAGCCCATTAGTCTTCTCATTACATTTGCATAAGCATTTTCTTTTCACAAAATTCCTGCACACTAAATAGGAGAATCTTCCTAACTACACAAACTATGTTACAAGATTATTTAGTTTACTACTTACATACTGCTGAAAGCATTTCCTTATTTTTACAGTGTTCCAGCAGCAGAAACAATACTTTCAAGGAGTTTTTACCAAGTATTGCTTCTGAACAAGTACCTCTCGCTTTTATCCCCCCCAATAACCAGCAAATTTTGATAATGTTTTTGAACCAGGAGCTTGGGAAAAGGAGGAGGAAGAAAGCCTACCCCGCTTACAGACCCCCAGTGAAAAGCAGCAGCGGCCGTACTGAAGGACAGAGCTCCACCAGCAGCTCATGCAAAGAATCCTAAAGCCAATTTCTTCTCTGTTAAATATTTCCAAACATCCACAATGAAAAGAAAAAAAGAAGTGTGTGCAGACATCCTCCAACTCTCCACACACCTATGTGATGCAAACAGGCACATTACAAGTTATGAACTGATAGAAGGAAAGACTGACCCATCAAGGTCTTCAGTATGTAGTTAAGATTTCCTGCCTTCTATGGAGTAGACCAACACTGAATCATTGAGCAAAGGATACTGTTACATCTCCATCACTTTCACATTTTTTTAAATCCATTTTTAGCTTGATCGATGTTTTAAAAAAACAGGATACCATGCACACAAAGCTCAATCTATAGCCTTTGAAAAAAAAAAAAAACCCACAACTCTACATCCTGAAAAAAACTGCAGTCTGACGCACATATTTTCTATCCTTGGTTCACTTAAATTCACTCATGCACATGACTCTAAATTTAGACAGGCTGACAAAACATTTATTAATTGAAAAATCTCAGTTACAGAAGTACTTCAAATATGAGAATTATTTTCTACATTATCCTGTCCATATTTCATGTGTATGCTACTATTCTGTCTCACTTCATTTATTTTATTACTTGTTTATACAGTATAGTTTAACAAGAGTCTCAATGTTTATTTTTTTGCTAGTGGGAAGATCTCAGCATATTCCTCGTCTTCAGAAAAGTCTGCGTCATGGTTAAGAATAACAATTTTGAAAGACTGTGCACTGTGAGTTATTCTGGAGTAAGTTACTGTCAAAGTAAGCAATGTTAAACAAATTAAACTTCAGTCCTTTAATCCAATTCAAACCAGAATTATGCTGGTTTATATGAACTAATATGTTTATACACTGATGTAAGTACATACTTATGACATATACACTAAGTAAACTCCGTAACTCAGACCCTCATGGACTGCGGATGCCCAGGATGATGCCAGACCCTGTATTCTCAGGTAATGAGAGCTGGGCCACATGAAAAATTATGCAGATCACACACGTGTGCATTGCTGCACGTACCTGTAAACCACCAATATCTGATGGCTGAATTCACAGTACAAAAAATTCTTTCCATTCAAAAAGAAAGTGAACACGATGGAGTTCTGCACTTACTTAAAAACAGCTGTAAAAGTCTGTAGCTCGTTATGAAGTATGCAATACCAATATGCAACCATTAAAAAACACTATGACGTTTGGCTTGAGACTGCTAGAGTTTATACACCGTGCTTTTGACCTACTGCTGCTAAATGATCTTGCAAACATATTCCTCCTTTCCACAAATCCCTCTTAACCCAACACTTTCGGACTTCTGTCAGTAATATACACACGCACTGTCAATGTGGTATTTCAGCTTTGACAGTTTCAGTATTATTCTTTCACTGTCACTACAAAAAGAATACGCACTGTGGAGTCTGAAGGTGCTTAAATCCTTCATGATGACTTTTTGTATCTGCTGGTTTGAAGAGGACTAATTACCTTAGGAAATAAAGGCACTTATCAATTATAAATTAATCCCCTTGTAGCAACTGCGTAATGTTTAAGGTAAGGACTCTGTCTTTGTATATTTCACATTAACTATGCACTAAGGAACTGTGAACTGTGGTAAAATCTATAGCATCACTTACACTTTACTCTTGGAGTAATGATGCACAGCAGAGCACCTGATACCAAGTGCAAGTGGAACTGCTTAACTAACCAAACACACACATTGTTATTTAGCGTAAGGTTTTCACAGAATTAAGAGAAGCATATTATTTAAAGCTTTTGTCCTTCACTCAAAATAAAGTGATTTAGATTTGTTTTCTGCTATTGCTGAATCACCCCTGGAAATAATACCCTCACATTTTCCAGAGAGACAACTGCCTTCATTTCGTATTCACATTTGTGAAACACTATTTTAATGAAATTATGATAACTTCCCAGATTCAATCTTACTTCAAAGAAGAGTACCTGACAACAAAGTATTTTATCTCATTATTCAGCAGGCAGAAATATTTGCTAACTGCGTTTTGAAGGGAAGTCCCTTTACGGCTATTTTCTCTCTTTTCCACATAGGTACAAGGCCTCAGGTCTCACAGTCACTCCCACAGCCACCCTGAAAGGCATCCATCCCACACACGCTCCAAGAGTACTGAAATTCGCGGTAACTGTTAGACCCCACGAGACAGTGCCAGAACATAACGCAGTAACACTGCACCCTCTTCTGGCCAGTAACACCCCTTCTGCCTCCCGGGGCCGGAACCGGGCGTCTTCCGACAGCGGAGAGCAGAGCAGAGGCACAAACCCCAGCCAGCAGCACTCGCTGCAGAAAAAGCAGCGGCCATCGTCCCCGTCTTCGCTGGCCCTCCGTTTCCAAAGGAAAACACACAGCCTGTGAACCACCTGCAGTGCAAGCACAAGTTTACACCGAGTTAAATTTCTAAGCTCAAATCCTGTGCTGTGGCAGAGCAGAAAGGCAAAGTCTGAATACCTCAGCAGCCCCCAGTGCACACCTCCTCCAGCAATCCAGACTCGGGTTATGGCTGCTGCCTCACCTTCCTCTGTGCCAGCCCAGCCCTGCAGCCACGCACACAACCTACCGGGTGCTAGAACATGTCCTGAAGCAACTGGATTTTTATTATAATTTTACTTGAATCCTGTAACACCTTTGGGATGCCACCAAGCAAAGACACGAATACATACATTAAAAATACTGCCGGGCAGGCATCTGCGCTGCAGTCAGCAGGTGGCACCAAGGACTCACCTGCAGCACCTCGGCTGGAACCTCCGCGCTTTTTCAAACCCCACTTTATGAAAGCTCAATCTGTATCAACCAGTGAAACAGGTTTACACCAGTTGCTGGTGAGGAATCGTGAGCTATTATATACCACCTTTTGAAGAACAGAAGCAGCCTGGAAATATTTCAGGCAAATCAACTAATAATAGCAAGTAGGAGATGAGGGAGCACTTCTTTGCAGAATTCTTTCCCTTTCAAAGACCTCTTGCAAAAAAGTTAATGAGCTTTTAGCATGTCCCTACAGCACCAACAGGGCTAGAAAACACTAGAGAGCATCAAAAGCAATAGCCTTTCTTAACTCTCTCCTTCCTATAACCACCTTAAAGAATGTTTTTTCTCCAGCTTCATTTGATTATAGCTAGTTTAGACATCACTTTGAACAGCACAGAAGACCTCTTCATACAGAAATTAAAGTCCCCATTTTGCAAGAAAATTACATAATGAATTTACATCTACTATTCTATTTGTGTGCTTTTATGCAGGTCACAGTCATAAATCAGTCTTGATCTTGTTAATAGACATGTTAATCTCCTCCACTGTCAACATCTGTCTCCACTTGAAACATCTGAACACAAAGTCTTTTGTGTTAATCTCCTCCACTGTCAACAAGCCTTGAAACATCTGAACACAAAGTCTTTTCCCAACTTAGTTTATAAAAAAGAAAATCATCCAATTTATAGTTACAAGCAAGAAAAAACCAAAACACTGGAGGAACCAAAGCTTGTCAGTTATGACTGGAGAATAAGGTGACCACACACAAAATTCCATCTAACATATCATTTTGAATAGTTACCACAACAAATGAAGTCATCAAATGCAGATTCAAAACAGACAGAAGGAGTTTTGCAGTAAGGTGGATTGCAATACCAGAGCCAAGAGACAACAAATGAAGTCATCAAAAGCAGATTCAAAACAGACAGAAGGAGTTTAGCCACGCACAGTGTGCTGAGGTGGCTGTGGAATTATAACATCCATAGTGTCTTTCCTACGGCAAAAGCCTACAGGGGTTCCAAATGCAATCAGCTATAAATGCTTGGGACAAAAACACATGAAATTTCTTATCTCTAACTTAGGAACTCCCTAAGCTGCAAATACTGGAGATAGGACTGGATCATGGAGAAGTACTGCTGTACATACTTACACTCCTCCACGAGCACTGACAAGGAGTCGAGCGCATGAGTACGGGTGGGGGGCGGCAGCACCCCGCACTTGGGGAAACTACAGGGTGACGGGGAAGAACCAGGAAAACCACCTGTATGACCAAGGTGTCTCTCCTGCTCAGGGGCACTCAAGACTGACGTGGTGGCCCACGGCTTTAGGCTTGGTATCTTAGAGGGACAAGCCACTGAAGCAGATGGCCCCTTGGTAACAGCCATACTGGATCATAAAAGGTAAAATGAGCACCAGAGATGCACAGCACAGATCTAATACACTTTGAAGTGCTGGAGAAAGGAGGAGGGGAACAGACAGGTGAGTGTCTAAGGCACTTATTTTCCACGTTTATAGCTGCAGCTAGTTACCTTTTAAACTCATCATGATAAAATTCAGATTTGCACGTCACCATCTCACTGGCTTGACTGTCATCACGACTCCTGACCCCGCCAAATACATAAAGCTCAGAGGCAACTCCACAGGCCACTGCCCCAAATCTGAGAATCCAAATGAGAAAAAAAAATAAATAAATAAAATATATTAAAACCATTTCATATATCCTTCTGAACTTTCTCCATTTTTAATATTTTTATTTATTTATAAAGGGGTGTGTGTATGTATATATGTTCAACAGGATGAGGTAAGTCATGAATATGAATCATAAGCACCTCATTCAGACCATGTAAGAGAACAAAACAGCAAAGTATTTATCTCTGGAAAAAAATCTGAAGTTGCAATTGAACTACAATCTCTGGTTTTCATTTTGCATCAGAGAAGTCTTGCTTGTAACACCGGGAGTGTATTTCTACAAAAATCGATATCTGTTGCTTGGATGCTTATCTTTACTCAACCACACGTTAACTAGAAGCCATCAGGATTCAGAAAGACATGGTGAAATTCATAGGGCCTCTGATGAATCCCTGAAGATGGCTATCAGAGAAAGGAAAACTTCCTCTCATCAAAGTTAAAAGAGGGTGTACACAGCAACCTAGTTCCCCTCGTCCATTTTCACTCACCTTCTCTCTTTCAGAGGACAGATTGCTGTCCACTGCTGAGTCCTAGGGTCATAACACTCCACCGACTCAAAGAGTTTTCCATAGGAGCCTCCACCCATTGCATAGATTTTCTTCTTCATAGCTGCATAGCAGCCAATCTTGTGGAAAAAAGAAAAAACACATCTGAAATTACACACAAATGACAATACCGAGAGCTCAAAACTAACTACATACACATGCACACACATATGTATTTGGGTTGCCTGTACTGCACGTCAAACAATGCCATGCATAAAAATTCTCCGCCATAGTTTTGTTGTGGTATATAAAGAAGCTGCTCTCTCTCATTCCGTTTTGAGACTATTTGTTAGAGCTTCTACTTGAAGCAAAAGGTTGAAAACTATATATATATTGGCATTAACTATTTAACAATAAGTAATGCAATAACATTCGATGTAGCTCTTACCTTTCTAACCATGGTCAAGTCCGGCTGCTTGGTCCAGGTCCGGCTATAAATATCATAGCTCTCCATAGAGATTAGCTCCCTTTCACCGTCCTCACCGCCCAGAATATACAGAATTCCATCAATCTCTACCACACCAAAATTATGTCGTGCCTACGGAATATCAATAAAGTCAACATTGTAAAACATAACTGCCATTGTGAATAAAGCAATACATTCTGGTTTTCAGCACATCTGTCCGCAAAGTGATATTGGTATTATCTCTGGGTTTGGTGGTGAAGTCTTAAACTCCAGAATATGATTATTAAATTTCTTCAACAAAATAAAGGATATTAAAAAAAGACAGAGCAGCAAAAGCAAAAGAGACCCCGCAAGAGCTTGGCCATATTTCAGTTTGCACAGTAGTGGTCTCCATGATGAAGCCATTGATTTCAGGTCTCTACAGTAGCAAAACCTGGACCCATCATCTGTGAAAAGGCAGCTCTTCTATTTTGCATGTAGGAGCACAGCTATCCTCAGTCTTCCTCATAGTAAGCAAGAAACTTAATGCATTGTAACTACAAACGTGGTCAAAAGTACAGGCTTTTGCCAACCAGAGACTTTAATCCTGTGGCAAAAACCAATTTCTTAATAAAAACCCGATGTTGATTTAAGAAGATAAAACCACAGCTGTATTGAGGATGTATGTTTACAAATAATAAACTGTTACTTTTTGATGGAATGCAAATATGAAGAAGGAAACATTAACTCAAACCTAACAAATATAAATATCTCTCTGCAAGCTGAGTTCTGTATGTTGGCCAGTCTTCTGTCCATCTTTTCTGCACAGTTCAATCACTTTGTATATTTGAGTTTTCTTGTGTACAACACAAAGGAAAAGTACACATATTTTTAGAAGGCCATTATATGCAGAATATTAAGTATATTATATGACCAATTCCATGTGGAATTGCTGAAATTCTGTAGTCCAGCTTTACAGCTAGCTCTTCACTAATAGTTTCGTTTTTCCAGATTCGGAAGTCATTATCAGACCACAAGTGTAACAAGAGGATGTAAACAGAAGGCAGTCTGTAGCACGATTGTGAACGTGTAAGATGCAAGTGACTGGAGATTCAGAATAAAATTTTGCAGAACAAAAGGAACATTTTGTCAAAGTAAAAAATCAAATCCCAACAGTTAGATAGTGATCTTGCCTCATTCATTGGTGGTAAGGAACTCCATGAATTGGTATCTGGATCATATTTCTCTCCAGAGCTTAGCGTTCCCTTGTTTTCATCCTGACCACCAAGCACAAATAAAAATCCTTCTGTAAAACAAAACGTAATGTGATCTTAAAAACAGGATTCTCACCTGTACACTGAGCAAGACAAAGTGACTGGTGAGCTGTATCCTGGAATTTGTTAAAAGATTCACTGCAGTCACAGGTCAAACTCTGGACTGGAGAAGGTAAAGCACCTATTTATACCTGGACTCAAGTCTACCACTGTAGAGAGTCTTCAACGTATTCAGTGATGCAGCAGCTAGAATTACTTAAAACATGAAATACTCCTGGAGAGACAGATGTAGCGGATTCCCACAAAATATTGCGGGAATAGTGATTTTAAGACACTCAGATGACAGGGATTTTCACAGAATAAAGTAATGTTTTGGGCAGACAAAGGGGAAGCATGAAATAACCCCAGTGCAGTCAATCTTTAAGAAAGGAAATTATTATAAACTGTATCTTAGATTTTGAGGCACTGGTGAGTTTTCATAATATTGACTTTACAAATACAAAGTTCCCCTTTACCTGCTGACAACACTCCATGATTGATCCTTGGAATACTCATAGGAGCAAGTTCAATCCAGAGCTGTCTATTGGGATCATAAAGAGGACACATACACCGCATCACTGAGGTTGGTTTCCGTGATCTGAACACAGGGTGGGGAGGGAACAAACAAAAACAGAAAGACAAGACAGAGTTTTACGAGTTCACTCTTAACACCTCATGTTCGAAACTTGCTTGTTCACGATTTAATATATATTCATAAAGCGTGGCATTTCCCTGATAAAGAGAAGACCCCCAAACCAAATACGTGCAAATTTATTTTTGCACAGACTGGAGACAAAAAGCAGATGCACTCCATTCGTACTGTATCTGCCTGTAACATTTTTTATGAAGAAACTTTGAACAAACTAAAAAGAACTGATAGAGAATAACAGTAATGTCTGAGTAAAGTGATCCACAAACTGATGTGCAAAATGGTATTTTATTACAGTTCTATAAAGAGCAAATATCTAAGTGCTGAACTTACTGTAACAGGACAAAACCCTCCACTCTACCGCAAGGGGTACTTAAGAAAGGACAGGGATTATTGTGTGGAACGGGAATTTTCACCTGGCACTTCAGATGCACCAGTAATGACTTTTTTTTTTTGGAACCACAAATATTATAAACAAAACAGTTAAAGCACGCGTTCATTATTTTTAATATCTATTATAGATGCCTTTCAGATCATTAGAAAAGTGCTTCGCCAACATTCTGTGCCTATTTTGAGTAAAGTCTATCCAGTTTTAAAAAAAAACAAACAACAGCCAATGCTTACTGAACAAACAACACGTCCTACTCTAAGTCTACTACATGTTGAGTGTCAGAAAATTATCACAAAATAACTATTTACTGCTGAATCACTCGCAAAGGTATTTCAGGTGCGTCCGACCAACTTAAAAACAAACTCAAATGACAGAGTAATAAGCCCATTAGGTGAACATATTCTCTCCACACTGTGTTTTCAGACGTGCCATGAATACCCAACGCTTGCGTTTTTACCAGCTGTGAACAACCTGTGATGTCACTTCACACTTACACTCGTTCTTCTCCACCAACAGTCACGATACACTCTGAGTAACCCCGGGGCTTGAAGGACGCCAGCATCGCCTCTCCCTGCTGGGGCGGCGTGAGGGGAATATTGTTGCATTCTTTGACGATCTCCCGTACCAGTGGTTCGCTCATCATCTGCTCACGTAAATACGCCGCATCTAAGCCCGAAACCCACACTGCGGACATGACGTCCTTCATGTGAACCTACAGAAAGAGATAAATGCCAGAAAATCCCCCAAACTTTCCAGAACAGCATTAAGGCACTCATACGTACAGATGCTTCTATATTTACCAAAAACTTAAAAGACTGTTTTTGATATTTGGAAGTAATAACAAAATCTACAACACAATGTTATTAAGAAAATGCATCAAGTCTTCAAAGTTTCACTACAAACGTGCTACTTGCTCTCTCTCCACAAAAACAAGATTATATCATCAAATGCCAAAAAGGTACTTTTTTTTTGTTAATGCCTATTAAATAATGAAGACAGCAGACGATATATCATCAACCCAGCTTTCACCCTTTTACTGCAATCCCGCTGTCTGCATTTCAGGCAAAATTCAACTAATTAGCCCTGAAAGAAATGTATCTATTTTAAGTTCCAACCGATTAGAATAAAGCCACCTATTTGGGTCACATTCAAAATATAAACATTTGGATGTCCTGACCTTTCTTGATTCTGAATCATGAGAAATCCACCTAATCACCGCTTCAAAGACGTATCTTTCGTTTCCGACATTGAGCTTTTCCATCGACAGCACTTCTTTCAGTTTCTGAGGAGTCAGTTCCAAGAATTCCTCTGTGCTGCTGACATCTCGAAAGTGAGTTTCCAGATACTCTGAGGCAAGGTAGTGAACATGATGCAAACAATAGTGCAGTGCAAAGTCCCGAATACCAATACAGTTCTCAGCAGCTATGCAACCTTCTAAAAACTCACAGCAGAGAGTTTTTAAGTCTGTAAGCAGCAGGAGATCAGCTGCCTGTACCACATCTTGGATAGTTTCTTCATTTAGCCTGATCTGCAAGAATTAATTTAGAAGTTATAGCTACTACCACTCATTTGTTTCATGACATGTCCGCATTCATTACACTCATTCTCAGTGGCTGAAAAACGGACTATTAAACGCCAGTGTAAAAATTACAAGAAATTGATATGACTATTACATGTTTATAAATTAACAGAGATGGAAAGGAATTTGCTTGACAGAAGGTGTCAAGCAGAATTTTGTGCCTGAAGTAACAATAAAATTGCTCATTTAGTCTGGGAACCTACAATCCATTTTTCTGCAATAAGTAATTTTTTTAATGCATGTCCAGAAGAGAATTTTAAGCCACATCTGCCTTTTTTTTTTTTTCCTGCTGGAATCAGCAATCCCAATCTGGTTCCAAATAAACCGGACACACCAACTTTAACTCCTGCTCAGGCTACTGGCACAAAGATGTGAAGGGGCACGCTGTCAGCAACAAGAGGCCGAAAAGGTGGGCCAGGACGGGAGGGTGCCTGATGTACTGTCATGTTCAGTGATGGGGTCTCAATCTCTATGCTATCAAACCAGTTCTCTTTTACAGCTGTCAAAGACTGAATGTTTTAAAGCAGGGTACTGAAGGTAGCCACAAATTTTAATACAAGCATTTGACGTTGACTCTCTTAGTGTCCTCTGCCACTGCACGAGAAGAACAGAGAAAACTGCTGCAGAACCTATTGCCTCTACTTCCCATGCACAGCCCCAGAGTCATATATCACTTTGCAGAAGTTTTATCACAAAGCTTTAAACTTTGATAGGTTTATCTTTCAGGACAGCAATGTTAAAACTCAGGACATTTTGCCAAATAGTTCAATCTCCATCTAGTTTTTTTTTAATACCATACCTGCCCACTGAAGATGTAATCTAGTATCTCTTTCATGATATCAACAGATATCCCTTCAAGTTCAATCTTGTATGTTGAGCCATCATCCTTTGGAGGATTATAATTCAGTTTTGTTCTAAGAAAGGAGAAAAGAAAAAAAAAAGCTCACAACCTGGGCATTGTTTGCTCTCAGTTTTCTGAAGAAACAAATGCTAGCTATGGACCCCTTGAGCTATAACAGAGATGTTAAACCCTTACAGTATGATGTGAAAATTTTCCCTCTTGAATTAGCATGAACAGGATGTATGTATGGTCTCTAATATTGCTCATCACATTTCCAAACTGAACAAATATGTTAGCCTTATAAACTACCCATGGCATCAAAGAGCCAAAGTAATTTTTTCCCAGCTCATTCAAAAACTTCACTCAGAACTTCAAAAAGAACAGCAGCTCTGCTGACAGATGAAACACAAGAATTTGCTTTGATAAAGGTGGAAAAAAAACCCCACCAAAACAAAACAAAAAACACTTTACCAAGAAAAAAAATAATTACAGGGAGCAGATGTGATCAGAATATACACTGGCAGCACAAATATTTGGATTGCATTATCATTTTGTATAGTTTACGATGTTATCAGCCTAATGCTATGCCTGGCTGTAACTGAACTGTGCGCTCGCAGTTGTAGGAAACAGCCCATGTGCTGCTCAGCTGAGCTTTAAATATTCCTCTACATCAGCGGACGCTTCACTTACGAGCAATTTCTTTAGAAACACCAGGAACAGTTTCATGTGCCTTTGAAAAGAATGGAGGGGGGCTGGGGGAAAAAGATGAGGAAGTAATAGTAATACAGCAGACAGGTTTCCTTTGTTAGTACAAACACTTTTTAGCAGGAAAGACAAGAAGTGTTCAAAAGGGATGAGTGCCCACCAGTGCAGTGAAAACAGCCACAAGAGCCAATAGAAGATCATTTTGAACACCTTTTCCCCACGCTTTAGGCAACCAAGAATACATTATATAAAAGACCAGAAAAGTTGTTTCACTGCCTCTCTCTGTGTGTATATATAGATATCTATATCACAGCACATTTCAGTAAAAGCCTCTAAAAATGTCTTTATAGTCAATTGTATATATTCTTAGATAGAATTAGTTTCTTAATGTGAAAAGCTGTAGCTTTGCTAAGCTGAAAGTGTCACAGTCGTCCACTACTCACACTAACTAAATACACAAACAGGACTTAGTTAAGGGCAGATTCTGCTTCACTTACTCATATCAAAATAAATTAGTTTGTCACAAAATAAGATATAACTCACACAAAATAAAATCCTAATCTATAAGGAGCTATTTATAAGTGTGAATAAGGATGATAATTTTAGCCCTGAAGTTAATGAAGCTTGTGGTCTTGTTTTCACATCGCTTTTCTGTGCTGCAAGAGACCCATCTCCAGCGAGCAGAACACTCTGGGAGACGAGGCTACTCTGATGCACACACACGACTGTGCGAGGCCTGAAGCTAAGCTGCTCCACGCTGTGTTTGTACAGCACCTAGCACAAGTTACAACCCAAATAATAACAACAACAATATAATATGGATTAGGAAATTGTTTATTTCCTAACACTTGGAAGGAGATTAGAAAAATTGAGCCCGTTCTCTAAACAGCCTACGTGACTTCCAATAAAGCTTGTGCTGCAATAGCAGACACTGATTTGCAACTTGTCAGCTGAAAACTTTTAAAATGAATATTTAGCTCAAGCAATGCTGTACAACGTACATCTCAACTTGTGCCATCCTCGGCCATGTGGAACGTGCATTTTTCATGCCTACAACTCCAAACGAATGAAAGAACATACACACACAGAGTAACACACGTTTTCAGCTCTAACCCAGTGCCAAGGCTTCTTTACACCCAATCCAAACTACCTCAATTGCAATTATGTCGGCTCCAGTTTGAGGTTTCTCAGTTTGTAATGAAAGGTGCTTCTTGTTTCCTGGGATGAAACTGTTTTCTGTTGATTTAACATAAAATGCATCATGGTTTGCAACACCTGGCTTCCTTCACCAGGAAAGAGACAGTCAGATGGTATCTGTACCTCACAGGTATCAGGTACCTATGAGTAGCCGGTATGGTCAAATACAGTGTTATCTACACAGAACCTGGGTAGTCCAACACATAGTGGGGTTTAAAACACATGTAAAGCATAAAATAAACACGTTGCATGCCAGCACTAATGGGGAGATTAGGGAAAGGACTAGTGCTATTTATCACTAACTTTCATCTTAGCATCACCCATACACACCCAGGCTAAATCACCTCATTGCGTGGACTTTACGCTGACACCTCCCGGAAACAAGAAAGTGTTGTTCAGAGTTTCTGGGTTTTATCAGGCTAGATGTTCTAATTACTGTGTACCTTTTCAGGCATCAACAGTCGTTAGCCTGAAAAGAAACAAACCAACCATGCAAGCCCACAACACAAACTCAAAGCAGAAAAATAACTCTGAGAACAAACGGATTGATTTCAAAGTTATACATACTTGTATGTGGGCAAATATTCACTTCATGTAAACACATCCCTGTTCAGACTAAGCTTTGTTCCTATCATCTGTCCTGAGAAGCAGTACTTATATACATGTCACACAACATTACCTTGTTAGTTAATAACCTACTACCCTTATTTATGTTTGTACAAAGGTTTCTGAGCTATGACATGAGAACCACTCCCAAAGGGCAGCTGGAGGTACTCCTTGTCACTCACGTCAAGTACTACAGGACAGCTACTGGCTGTTGGGAAGAGGGGAGGAAAAAATTGATGCAAGGACATATTATAACCAGGTTTGGGGCGGGAAAAGTTTACAATAGTAAACTGTGAGTCTAATGTGGAAAAAAAGCTGAAGGAGGAGAAAAAAGTAGGAGGTAGGTATGCGGAGGGCAAGGAGCCATGCCTCCTCTTGCCTCACCCAGCATCAGCTGTGACCTGCACCCACACCTCGCTAGCAAACCGCGGTCTGGGCACCCTTGTCGTAACACATGCAACAGACAGGACGAGAAAGTTTCAAAACACGTTTGTTCCCAGTTCAGAAAGACAGAGCGGACAACACATTGGGAAATACTTAATTCTGGTCCTCTACCAAATTTCACTTTAGAAAAAATGTTTCTAGCTATGCTTAAGCAGAGCTTTTCCAATCTGTCGGTATCCCAGGAAGGAGGATGCTTTCTTTCCACCATGCTCTTCCTCACAGTGATTTATTCAGCCTACGATTTACGTGGCAGAAAGCTGGAAGTGGCAATCAACACCCCAAGGTGCAGCGATGTGCCCAGCTGTAGCACGACTGCTTCTAACACATTCATATCAGAGCTTCCTACTTTGGACAACATTTCTAATTACTTTAAAAGCACCCTAAGCTGCCAAACCACAGCAGAAAAGGCTGCCTCAGTCTTCCTTAATTCAGCTGAAAGACCAGAACATCAAGATTTAGAAGGAAATAAAATCCCCACAGCCAACCAGAAGACCCATTAGCTGGGAGCAGAGTGCAGCTGAGATGCATACAGAGCTGGGGGAAACAAAACAAGGCAACTTCTTTCTCCTGTTTTCTTAAGTAATTTAATTTTGCGCAGCTTGACTCCATACATGTTTTAAAACAGTTATTTCCATTTTTTAATTAAGATCATCATTGTAAGTTGAAATTGCTTCTGGTAACATGAATAAAATGTTCCATAAATGCACAACATCCATCCCAACCTCTGTACTGGGTCAGGGAAACTGCTTGGCACATCCTACACCTTGAGCAAGTGGCATAAGAACAACCGGGTTTATGTTGTGTTTTGATGTTGTGTGTCTATGTGACAAATTTAGAATCTGCTCTTCCACATCACTTAAGGAATACAATCCTAATGAGTCATCTCAAATGACACTACACAAAGCAGAAAGAGGAAGAAATTCCAATACCTCTTCTGTATGTGTAAGCATCAATATAAGCAAGGTAAATCGTTAAAATGAAAACAAGGGCTTAAGAACAAATGTTGACATTGCTAGGAGTCACAATTCACATCTGATGGCATAAAACAGATTCAAGTAATTAAAAAAAGCCCTAACAGATAAATTTAAGACTGTCCACAGTTCTTGTTAAAATTAAGATGGATCTTAGAATCATCGAATGGTTTCGGTTGGAAAGGACCTTAAAGACCATCTAGTTCCAGCCCCCCTGCCACGGACAGGGACACCTCCCACCAGCCCAGGTTGCTCAAAGCCCCATCCAACCTGGCCTTGGACACCTCTGGGGATGGGGCAGCCACAGCTTCTCTGGGAAATTTGTTCTAGTGCCTCACCACCCTCACAGTGAAAAATCGCTTCCGAGTATCTAATCTAAATCTATCTTCTTCCAGTTTGAAGCCATTCCCTCTCGTCCTATTGCTACATGCCCTACCTCTCATTTTAAAAGAACAAAACAAAGAAAAACACATGGTCATACTTCCAACCTTACAGCCAAATCCCTGTGAGAGCGCTGTTATGGGACAGTTAAGATGCATGAGAAGCACATTGATAAAGGGTCCATGTCTCTGAAAACTTGTTTTTCTGGAGTTTTACAGTTGACAGTTTACAGGAGAGGCAATAAGAATTTAAAAACCCCAACCAACCAAAACACCAAACAAACCAAAGCAAATAATTCAGCCTCCACCAATAAAGCTTGCTTTCCTGAGTCAGGCATAATTATGTGGGAATAGTTTTTATCTATAAAACCTCTGCCTTATTTGTGAACTGTTATGAAAAAAGATAGCCCATCTGTCACCATTCTACAATGGTGACATAAAGAGAACAACAGTCTCATTCTTGGAATGCTTTAATCCTTAGAGCCTTGGTATACTGGTACCCAAACAGGTAAAGAAAACATCTGCCTGCAAAGATTGTGCCTTTGTAAATGAGAATGCTCTAGACCACGTTAACCTCAAGGAGGTTTATGATATTTACAGCGATGAACAATCGGAAAATCTGGGAAACAAAAGGCAGACACTTTGTTTTTGATGCTTTGCAACACAAAACTTTTCCCTGCTCTCACATCACCGCACTGCAAACAAGGCAGTTTGCTGCCCTACTTACACAGCTGTAGCAGAGTGTCAGGAACAAAACTACAGGAGATGAGGGAAA